CACCCTCAGTATATGGGGCCGGCGCCCTACTCACTGAGCCACAGGCGCCACCCTAAAGTAACTGGTATCTTAACAAAATTCTTCTCTTTGGTAACTGTCTAGTTTTATAAGCAAAGATGGAAAAAATGGGGGAAAATGTCTTTTCTAACCCATTTTGTTCAGCTGAGGAAACTAAAGCACTGAGTAATAAAATGGCATGGCTAAGCAAGATAGTGACAAAGTTAGAACCTAGGTCTGTGGCTCTCAGTTTGTCCATGCAATTCGTTGGTGTTCATCTGGGAACCCTTATGCCCAGGGGAAAAAAAATCGCAGTTACTTTCTCTAAAATAATATAATATTTTATTTCATTTTAAAAATTATTTTAACAGTCACTTTTATTAAGGAAGAGGCTACATCTTGGTTAAAAGAGCTTAACTATATTTCATTTTTAGGTTTAATTTTACTTTGCTTTTAAATCCTTAATTATCTAATAAATAGATAATTTACTATTATCAACCACTGCTTTCCCAAGTACTTAAGTAGTTCCTAGAAATTTACGTAAATCAGGTGATTCTTACATTTATTTTAAATATTGAAAAACTCTTACAAACTTAGCAAAATTCTCTTAAATCTTTAAATCATTTGGTCCAAATCTTTATTCAGTGACACATTTTATAGTGGACTCACAAGACTGCTGATCCAACAGATGCTCTAAAATGCCAAATTCTCTTAAACATAACAAGCACTTAAAATGCCAAATATATGAAGTCTGACAATTAAGTTTGTGAACTTGCCACTGTGCACTTAACATTGGCAGCACTGTATGAACAACTTGATAAGGCTTCACAACCTTGACATATCAGTGTCTCACAGCTGCATTAAGGTCAACATGTGCATTGTCTTGCTGAGCGGCATTCATTATTGTTGCATGTTTTTGTGTGCTGTATAATGACAGATCTGATGGTCATTCCAGACAAAGAGTTCCAAAGTTGCTTTCAAGGGTAGACTAGATGCTAGCATCAGAGCATAGCTTCCCAAGGGGAGTACACTGAAGGTGACCATAGTGATACTCAGAAATGAGGTATGCAGCACATTTTCTAGGATGAGTTCTCAAACTTAATTGTCTGACCTCAAATAGTTAATTCTCAAACTTAATAACAATATTAAGAGTTTGATATGGTTCATATCTATACTTAATCCTAAATACTAATAGTCTTCTAAGAAAACAATTTGCCTTTAAGCAAGTTGGGGTTTCCTTCTCACTTGATTGGGCTTACCTGCCTAAGCAAACTTAAGGTTATTATCTCAGTGGTTGAGGTTGCACATCAGAGATTCAAGTCTGAACATGAGATCCAAGGCAGCTGACATTCTAGGAGATTTTTTTCTTGACCATAAAAGCGTAAACCGAGCTGTTTTATAAAAAAGGCAATCTTTAAAACAGCATGGTATTAGCATAAAAATAGAGACACAGATCTATGGAACAGAACAGAGAACCTATAGGTAAAACCAGGCCTCATAGTGCCATCTGATCTTCTATAAAGCAAACCAAAACATATACTGGGGAAAAGAATACCTATTCAATAAGAGGTGCTGGAGAACTGGTTAGGCTGTAAAAGGCTGAAACTAGACCTATACTCTCACCTCTCAGAACGGGAGAAAATATTTGCATGCTACAAGTCCAACAAAGGGCTACTAACCAGAATCTACAAAGAACTCAAAACATACCAACAAAAAAAGAACAAACGATCCCATTAAAATCAGGGCAAGAGATATGAACAGAGAGATGAATGGCCAACAAACTCATGAAAAAATGTTCATCTCTAATTACTAGAGAAATGCAAACCAAAAACACTGTGATAGCACCTAACCCTAGTTAGAATGGCCCACATCACAAGGTTCCAAAGCAAAAGATGCTGGCATGGGTGCAGAGAAGGGAACACTCCTGCACTGTTGGTGGGACTGCAAACTAGTACAGCCTTGAAGGAGAAAGCAGTATAGAGTCCTCAAAGAACTAAAAGTAGACCTTCTATTTGATCCTGCAATCCCATTAATAGATATCCACCCCTCAAAAAAAAAAAGGTCATTTTATCAGAAGGACATTTTCACTCAAACGTTTATAGCAGCCCAATTTACAATCACAAAGATGTGGAAACAACCCAAGTGCCTTTCAACTTATGAATGGATTAATAAACTATGATATATGTATATCATGAAAGACTATTCAACCATAAAAAAGATGGAGATTTTGTATCTTTTGTTACAACTTGGATGGATTTGGAGAACACTCTCCTATGTGCCACAAGAATGGGGAAGCAGATATCACATGTACTCAATTCTAATCTGAAATTTGTACATTAACAAGGTGCTCACATGAGAGAAAAAATTCAATTTAATCAAGAAGGGAGGGAGAGGAGACAGGGTTCAGTAAGTTCCCACCTAACAGTACAATGTACCAGTATATGGCACACTTCCTGGGTGAAGTTCACAACTACAACTTGGACTTTAACTTACAATTGCAAACAATGTAACATAATTCTATATACCTTAATATTAACCTGAAATAAAAATAAAATTTCTAGAGCAAAAAAACTTTTTTAAAAGGAGGCAGTCTTGTAGTCTTGTAGCAACATTTCCCCATTTTGAGTCCGTTTAACATGCTTTGGATTCAGGATCTCTCCCATGGCTCTATATGGCCCAGCGGTCTCAAAACTAAAGTCAGGCCAAGGGCCAGGAGCAGTGTGGCTCATGCCTGTAATCCTAGCACTCTGGGAGGCCATAGCAGGTGGATTGCCTGAGCTCACAGGTTCAAGACCAGCCTGAGCAAGAGGGAGACACTGTCTCTAAAAATAGCTGGTGTTGGCTCGGCGCCTATAGCTCAACCGGCTAAGGCGCCAGCCAC